ATGATTCTACAGCTTCTGCTATTTAAAAAATGAAGCACAAAACAAAACCCCCCAGCCCCCAAAACCAAATAAACTTGCAGAATTGAGGCCTGTGTTTAGATTTCCTCTCAAAAATACATTAAATGTATGAGTAGTATTTATATAGGCTGGGCAAATGCAATGTGCCTATTCTTGAAATTATACAAAACTGTAATAATAATTGAAAATATTTCAGTATCTCAACATTTTTCTTAATTTTAGCACTCTTATCTTTCAGGGTGTAATGGAATGCCAGTGTAATTTTTTTTTTTTTTTTTCTAGTATGGGTTATATAGATTTGAGATCTGTTGTGGCTGTAAAGTTAGTCTACTTGCTATGTTAGCCTTTAATACTATATTCCCACCTACAACTGTAGGAACACAGCTTGAAGGAAATTTAATTAGGAAAATGAGGCAGATGAAATAGGCAATGTAATGTATACGTGCAATATGAAGAAGAGTAAATACACTTTTCATTTGAATAGTCAGAATAGAAACTGTGTTAAACTGGGCTGAAATTTTCTTTTATCAGAAATGGATTTCTTTCATTTTCTATCATTACTATGTAATTGTCCTCCTTATTACTGGGATTAAAAAGACTACTATCATTAAAGAAGAAACATCTTTCAACAATTATATTTAGTTTCTGTATTAGCAGAATGACCTCCTCATTATGTGGAAAATGGAAATCCCCGGAGGAGCAGACTTAGTGAGGTGATTCCACTCAGCTGGGAAGCCTCGTGCACACACTATTTGCATCTCATGACCTGCCTGCACGCACCTGTGCTGTATTGATTTCTGCTTGTTTACAGGCCATTCCAGCAATAAGCAGGTAGAATTCAGATGACTGAAAACTTGCTCTGCTGGTAGCAGTTTCCTGCCTCGCTGCACTCTGGAATATTCCAGCCTTGCTGCAGTGTGTTGCTGCGCAGCCATGGATTTTTCAGTTGTACCCATTACTCATTTCCCTAATGCATTTTTTTAGCATTTGTATTGGTTCTGAGCACAGATGATCATGCTTTAGAGAAAACCGCAGAGGATCACTAGGGCAGAAAACAGCTTAAGTAATATATAATAGATCGTGAATAATTGTTTAAGAAAAAAAATTTCCCATAGTCCCCTTTCAGAATTGGAGAGAACAGCACTGGCAAGTCTGCAGTATTACGTAGCGCAACCAATACAACTGACACACTTGTTCGAAACACATGCTATATTTATTTAGTCCGAGTCAAGAGATAGAAATACATTCTTCAGATATATTTTTATATAGTAAGCAAATAGAAAAAGTTTTAATACATGCAGTGCTTCTATGCATGAGGCTTAAAAACGTTCTAATAATTCTGGGTCAAACCAGTTGGGCTGTAACCTGATTCTTCAAACTAATGCTTAAGGAGATGTGAGGCCAGTGCTTTTACTTTACTGATGCTTTCTGGACTTTTTTTAACAAGATGGCAGTGACATAAGTAAAGATGCATGTGGTAGGTGTATTATGACTACATGGTATAGTCAACCTAAATTCTGTGGTCCACAGAATCTATGTATGGATCCATTTAGCATTTTCTGAAAATGCATTTTTAATTGTTTTTAAAACATTGACAATACCCATCAATGTTAGAGAGCAATGGTAACCCAAACTCTGTGCTAATAATGTTGCATATGTTTATTTTGGCAAATATTGAATGTATTTATACAGGATGACAACTCAACTGAAAAAATCTTTTTTGAAAATCTCTCTTGAAGTATGAAAAAGGATGTATGGCGTTGTTCTGATAGGGCCATCAGATATGTATTTTTCCCAATACAGCTTAGGGTTAATTTTAATAAAAACATTCCAGTGATGGAGTTATGGTCAGTAACTGATAGGGTCCAGATGATGGTGAACATCCTGAAGAGACCCTTCTCCTTTATGGTCTTACTGTGGATTGCACATGTATTCTCCACAGGTTCATTGGGGGTTGCACAAACTCCCTATGATGATGTAGAGATTTGTAGAGTCATGGCCTTGGTTTCCAGCTGTGAATGAGCTTCTTCGGCCGAGGGAATTCTGCCGCTTCCTTGCCTGCCACAGGTTACCTGCTGGAGCAGTACCTACTGGCTACAGTGCTCTGTTCGACTTCAGGTAAACCCAAATGTCAGTTTTGGAATTTGGGCTCCATTCCATCATTCTGGTACGTTCTACCCACTGCTTTGTGGTAATAGCTCTTCCCATTTTGAGGTATTGAACACTTGGGATTTCCCATGAATTTAACATCTCTTGTATGGAGATGTTAAATGGAGGTCTTAAGGCCAGATTAGTAGTCTGCTATTAAATCTTAATAGGATTCCAAATCCTCAGAGTTAAAGGGGGAGAGAGAAATACATTTTTATTGTATGGATAGTAGGATATTGGGTAGGATAGTGGAATATTTAGATATGTAATAGAATATTTAGGATATTTAAGCTAGAAGAGATCTTCATATTGGATTTCTTGTTCAAATAAAAATGTTTTTTATTGCTTTTCAACTCTCCAGTATGCTCCTTGTCTGTCCCAAATCCACTACCTGCAGTGATGTTTTGACTTAGCCAAACTGTTACCTCAGGGGATGCCCTTGCCCTTAACATGAAGCCCTTAACACAAATTTAACCTTGGTTCTTGTAATTATCAATATTTGTTCCATTCTGCAACTTGAAGAATTTTGCAACGTGCGCTTCAAATTGGGGTTTGGTTAGCTTTAACAGTGAGTTTCAGAGTCACCATTAGACTGGCAAGACCCACAGGAGCCCCTAGTAATTTTAGATAGATAATTAGAACAGAAAAGCACCAGGTCATCCATTTCCAACTTCCCTGGAGTCTCAGTTGTTGAAGCATGGGATCCAGGCCTTATTTCCAGCGTCATCAACCTTATCCTGCTATTGTTTATTGTTTTTTGCTTATGGCAGCAAACAGCCAGAGGACTTCTCCTGGTGATTACCAAAATCTCAGGTTCTCTGCCTCCTTAAATCGAATTTCAAAGCATCAGGTTTTAAAATCAGCATCTGTTATTTTGAAGTCTTGGTTCTGTGTTTAAGTCAATTCCATGTCTCTGGACAGTGCTTTTAGTTATCAGTAGCAATCAGTATCAATAAGAAATGATCAGTAGTACTTTTATTTCTGTCCATAGTATTGCTAGATGCAATGGCAGGTGTGGTGGTACATTTTATTTTCCAGATACTGGAGATACTAGCTTACAGTTTCATCACTGGATGGTAGTACTGGCTATTTAATGTGTTTTGCTCCTTTACCAGAAACATTTCCTTCACTGCAAAGAGAACGATGTCTCTATTATATCATGTAAAAACATTCTTGTATGTTTTAATCAGAATGAGAAACTCCCACAGGGGGGTTGCTGATGAACTGCTTAAGAGAAATGAGGAAGATTGAAGTTCCTAATAATTATTTTTTTCAGACATCAGCACAAGATAGCAGGTGTTTTCTCTGGTAAGCGATTCTTCTAGTAGTTAGAGAGACTTGATTTTTGTATGCTGTCGAGTTTCAGGTTTAATATATGGTAAGGGACACATCCTCTCAGACACTTAATCTTCTGTTGACTTTATGGGAGTAAAAATAATTATAGAACCTTTTCAGATCTTTGAAACAGGGAAGGTTAAAATCTCCACTCTTCCATGGTCTGCTCAAGCATTTCCTTTAATCTGTGATTTTCAAAATTAAAACAAGACACGGTGCCTGCTTAGAGAATGTTTATTACTTGAACGTGTAGTCATCTGATTGGTTATTGTATCTCATACTCAGTTTTATACATGGTTTTCTGGTGTAAAGCCTTACTAGATGCATCTGCTATCCTTAATTTAATTTAGTTAAGTTCTTTTGTGGAATCAGATAGCTGAAAAAGCCAGAACTTCCTTTCAAAGAACAAGCACTTCTCAAAGACACTTTCGAAGTGTGTGCAGTTAGAGGGGGTTGTTATATGTACTTTTTGTTGGAGCAGATACAAGGAGTGGGACATTAAATTAGAATAAATCTTTTCAGTTAAGAACCAAGTTTGGGTTTTACTAAACACAGTAGGCTTGCAAGAAAAAAGCTGCAGCAAAAGACCCTACATGACTCTAACAGTATCTTTCCCCATCTGAAGAAACCTATAAAACTGAATTTTCTGATTAGTCACTCGGTTCAAGCAAGGTAATGTTAGTGTAATCCTTTCGATGTGTCTGAAGTATTGTGTCACATGAAATTCTTCATTATTTCATATTTTACCCTGCAGCACCTTGGATATTTCTGATTGAATTAAATACTTTAAATACTCTAGGGCTTAAAGACCTAAAATAGACACTGCTAGGATTGTGCCTTAGTTATTTAAGAAGGATTTTCATCCTCACCAGGAGGAGAGAAAATTTTAGTGAATGAAAGTGGAAATCTTTGGCTTTCTTTGCATAAGAGCAAATGTTGCACACAACTATTGATCGTCTTCACATTTCAGTTGCTCAAACTAGAAAGCATGGATGGAAAATGACTAAATACGCTTTCCTTAATTTGTCAGTATTTCTTCAACTGAGGTATTTAGTGGAGAGATTGATTTAGAAAATGTGGTTTCTTTATTTTGTAAGTCCTGTGTGCATTGATTTGCATTATGGCAAAGGGGATGCGAAACACTATTCGTGCTTTTCCAAGCACGTATGACTCAAATGTATACAATGCAGAACAAATGAAAATGGGAGGGAGAAATTACATTCTCTGTCTAGAATTTTGCAGCCCTGCCAAGATGATGAGAAAAGGGTTTAGGAAATTACATGTAAAATTTTTGCTTTGGAAAGAAGCCCTTTCCACCACCCCTTCAAAGAAGTGGTACTTTAGGAAAGCCTTACCAATCTTTCCAAAACACCCAACGCCATGGTGAGCCCAGGAGGCACTTTCTTTCAGAAGCTGCCTAGACAATTTGGTTGTCTTATTCCTGTTGTTTGGAGAAGCAAAGTCAGTCCTTTAATTATCATAACTATTGTCTCTTTCAGTCCCTGAAGATTAACGTTTATCATGCTGAGATTCGGACAGCACCTCATCAAGCCCTCCATGGTCTTCCTGAAGACTGAGCTCTCCTTTGCTCTTGTGAACCGGAAGCCGGTGGTCCCAGGGCGTATCCTTTCGAGCAGTGCCTCGACGATGGGCACCCACACTCTTGGGAAAAGCAGGAGGAGCTCGGTGCGCTTCAAGGGCCAGGTAGGATGCTATGCGGGTTTATTCTGAAACCAGGCAGTGGAACGTAGTACGCTTGGTCGGTGTTGCAGAACTGCTGAAAACAGTTGCTTAGCAACTGTGACCTTAGAGGTGAATTTCTATTGACCTTTTCACCACAGAAGATGTATAAACAACTAGGTGTACTAAAAGCATTTTAAAGTGTATCTGAGGTGGTACTGTTTAAATTTCATATTATGCTAAATAACACATCCTGCTTCCCTTTTAATAATGTCACTTATTTTTAGATGTGTTAACTTCTTAATGGAGGATTTTCTACTTCTCCTAGCTAAATGTACACAATTTGTCAAATGGCAGCAGAATCCTGTATGAAGACTCTTATTTTTTTGGGACAGCTTGCTTTGATTAATTTAGGTAGGAATGGATTAAATAAACCATCTGTATAGTGCACACATTTCCTGAGGAAAAAAAACGAAGCCCCATGTTGTAAGTAAAATTCTCACTTTAGAAACTGTATAGGAACTTGATTCTGCAAGATGCTAAATGTACCTATTTAGTGTATTTTGAAGTGTGGCATATTATTTTCCAGTCAAAACTCTGCTGCTGTGTAACTTGTGCTGATTTCAGTGGCTAGAGGTGGAATTTTTCAGAAGTACTCAAGACTGATCACTTCATTTCCATAGAGGTCCATGGTAAAATTTTAGTAGGAACTCAGGCAATGGCTGAATGTGTTTTGGGAAAAGAAGAAAGTAATCTGGAGTTTATTGAAAGCTTTCTTGTTCTTCTGTAGTTTTATGTTGTTTCTTTCACAATTTAATGTATAATTTAAAATTTAGTAACCTTTAATGTATTTTTTTTTAAACCCATAAATGTGTTTCTTCTGAAATATGGAATCTTTCTCTCCTCCCATCGCTTCTGTAGATTATAATTTTTCAATATAGAACTTCTCTCTGCACCTGCTTTGAATGGTGTCTGTTTGTACCGGAATTCAGATCATTTGGTTATAAATGCGTGGCAAAGATGCATAGACTTTATAGAAACTTTAAAGGTGTTACTATCTCACCAATATATTTTAATGAATTAAATGAACAGTTCTTCTCAACTTCAAGTTTCTGAAGTATCTGATGTAAATCGATGTGATTTACAGATTGGTCATAAAAAAAGACATTTTCAAAGCTATCTAAAGACAGTATCACATCAGTCACTGTGAGATGCAGAGCCTGTAAACGCCTGAGCAGTATGTTGGTATATGCATTGTCCAGATCAGAGAGTAAATAAAAAGTTATCTGTACTGTGTGTGAAAGTTTTAAAAACAATAGTTAATGATTTTTTTCAATTAATCAGTTAAGTGAACAATTGTATTGCTTGTTAAAAACAAAGAAGAGTTATTTCAGATGAAAGATACTTGTTTTAAAGTTTTCTGTGCACCTAGTAATGACAATTTAAGCAGCCTATAAAACTTAATTATTCCGAGCTTCTTTCCTTCTTAAATAATTAAAGATTATAAACTCTAGTTGTATAGCTATTGCTGACTGTTTGACAGATACATTTATTTGCTCAGGTTTAGCTTTGCAATGAGTATTGCAGCATATTTTATAGTGTCACATTGTTTTAATAGCTCATGTGTTGTAATATATAATGTAGGTTTTGTTTCTCCATTGAATAAATGTTCAGGTAATAAAACCCCAACCCTTTCCCTTTCTCCTTACAATAATAAAAATTAGAAAAGATCTTGATGCAAAGGCTAGAATACAGTATGTAAAATAGAGCAATTTGCAGTTGTAAGCCTTTAAAATGCCTGTATAATGCAGCATTCATCTTGAGACCTGGCAGTAACAAGTGTATTTTCTTTGTTTTATTGCAATAATTTTATCTGCCTTGTCTTTGGCACACTTGTGACATTCCTTTTCATTTTTTTTTTTCCGTAGAAAATAAAATATTAATGTGTGTGAATTAGAGAGACAAAGGAAATCAGTTTGAAAGCCAGCTCACTCCAGGTGGTGGCTTTAATTAACTAGTAAGGTTGAAATTCCATCTTGAAACAGAACGTGGGATTGGAGTTGTGAATTTGCTGTAATAGTTTCAAAATAAAGCTATACTCTGGAAAAAATGGTCTTGTGGAGTTCAGCATTCATGAATTGAGCAATGCCAAAGCATGCTTGTTCAGTTAACACATTACAAAGTTTTGTTTTGTTTATTTCCAGCTGCCAATCCTGTGAATTGAGTTTGACACGTGAAAGTCAAACTGTGCTAATAGTAACCAAGAATAGGACTAGCAAGAACATAGTATCCATGGTAAGGAAAGAGTTCCCCTGTTCTTGGACAAAGCTGCCTCAGTTGCCCCAGCATTAGACTTCTTTCTCATGGGTGCACGCTAGTTCATGGACTCAGGAACCTGTTTGTAAATAGGATCCCTTTGAGTGATGTGATTATTGCAGATTCTTGAATAGGAAGTAACTGGGATCTTACAATTGAGTAAGGGATATCTGGCATTCAACTGGAATCTCTACTGTGTAAGCTAAAATATGCGCTTGTGTTTGACAGTAGTAGCAAACTCATTCACCTCTTTTGGCACAACCAAATGGAGAGGGAGAGCTACACGAGGTCAGTGTGCGGGATTAGTGCGTGTTCCCCTCGGGACAGCCAGTCCCTTTGCTGTCACCTAATAGGAAAATGGTTAAGGCTCAGAGGTGTCTGACCACAGTCCGTCTGAAGACATCAAGTCACTCAACATCCATGACAAAATGAAGAGTATGTACTTGCTCTGTTCTTGCATATAGTTCAAAGTGGAAGATGGGGCTTCCCTGCCCCTTCTACTTGTCTTATTTCAGAGCAGCCAGGCACATGGTATTTGGGACAGCCTTGATTAGTGAGATATTGGTTTTTGGGGTGTTTTTTTAATGTTGATTTTCTGTTTTGTACAGAAATGGTATGATTTTTTTTGCTAATGCCTGTGAATTGTTGTGGAGCCAAGAGTCTAGGTGGGAAATACTATATGTAGTGCACATCTTAACAGTTAGCTTGGGAGTGGAGAGGGGGTGAGCTGGTTATTGTGTAAGCTTGCGGGGATTTGTATGCTTATACAGGTACCAATACTGTTTTCTATGAAAAGCAGAGTCCCTGTTTCCTCTAAGTTCTGTTAGCTTGCTGCTCCGCAAAGAGTGATTGTAAAAGAAGTCATTTGTGGCTCCCTTGAACAACTACATAGCTGTTTTAGAGGAGGTAGCTATTCAATAGCTGGAATAGCGCAGGGATGTGTCTACAGTCAGCAAATGCATTGTCTGTCGTACAAAAGGCACAAGACAAACTGAATCGGCTCACGCAACCAGCATGAGCTAAGTTTCTACTTGTCTTCTTACTTAAATTATTTCATTCAGAGCCTTGCTGCTTCCATAGTTCAGAGCAGAACTGTGGTGTCTTTTTAAAGAAAATCCATCTGCTCTTTGACAGGGACTTTTTGCTCTTTAATATGGTAGCAAATACTTTGTGAATGACCTACCATTTTACTGATGTTTTCCTAGCCTTACGCCATAGCTTTGCATGGTTCTGTTCACATCTTCAATAAATATGAACTGGGTTTTTTTATCACTGCCTTTCTCATTGCATTGTGCAGGGTACTTGCTTTCATCTTGTGTTAAACATGAAAAATGAATTTGAACATTAGTAGAATCCATATGGGGTCTAGGACTTTTATTATAAATAAAATTATTCATTTGTTATGTCCAATTTTTTTTCAGCAGACAAGGTATTGATCTTTGGATTTGTGTTCAGGATGCCATAAGAAGAACTAGCACAAAAAGAACACAGCAACGTTTGTAAATTGATTGAATGCAATATGTAATGACAGAGACAAACATCAGATCTATGGCAATACTGTATTATACAAAGCATTTTTCAACAGTTTGTTGCATTGGTTATTAAAAAGAACAGGGAGTTCCAGCTGGGAACAATGAGCCGAGGGTTATCAGGACCAAGCAATTTTATAGAAATTTGTGGTGGACAGTGTGGCTCCTTCAGTAAGTGCACATGTGTGTGTGTGTGTGTAATAAATTAGAATAAACACTTTACAATAACTTTTCATCTGGGTTTGATTATGAAAAGTTTTTTCCATTAAAAAAAGGTTAAAAAAAAAAGACACTTTAACTGTTATATACTGAATTTTGCTGGACTATTTGGTATTGCTATTTCCATAGAGATCTGGTGTTTTCCACCAGAAAGTATTCTGATTGTGGGGAATAGACCATATATAAAAACCCAAAGCATGTGATATTTTCTGGCAACTTCATCACTACATAAAGTTAATGGTCATTATTTGTTGCCTAGACAGTGTGCTGTACTGTGAGTTACCACAGCTTGTTCTTTTTATTAATAAAGTAGAGAAAACGTTAGTTGAACCAGATGCTCCTTCAAAGAGTTGATAACACCCTAAGCTGCAGTGTAATTGTTCTGGGTCTGTTGCATGGGTGGGACGGGATCCAGGGTCATGCAGTGTAAGAATAGCATCTGCTTTGCTGTACGATATGTCTGTTTGTGAGCTTCCCTGTCATATGCTGTCAGAATTGCCATATTACTTGAGACTGACGTGTTCTGTATTGTCACAAATGATTGCTGCTTTGCTTAAAAGATCTGCAGTTAGAAAGAAACAATCCCTTTGATTAGTATTTTTTGTTAATATATTTAAAAAGTAATTTTTAATTTAGTTACAGTCCTGACAGAATTTCCATTGAAGATGGCACACTGGCTCTGGAAAGAACAGTAGTATTCTCTCACAAGTTTGGTTGAAAACCATGGTGTTTAGCATGTATATGAAATTTTAATTCTTCGTAAAGTTACAGAGCTGCTGTGTTTATCATGATTTAGTTAGTTTGTACATTGCACGTTTATCACATCTGTATTTATGCTACATAATTATGAATTTTATGGCTTTAGCCTAAACAAGTG